ACGCAATCGCCAACAGCATAATGTCACGTATTAATCGTATTCAACGTCTGGGCCGCCTGTGATGTAAACGGTTGTTTGACATTTTAAACGTCAAACTCTCCCAGGGCAACTCGAGGGAGGGTCGTCTCGGTTACCTGAGACCGTATAAATGAGGCTTCAATCCGTTTCTTAACTTCGACACCTCCTCCCTGGCCGGTTTAATTTTTGCGCCTTATAACCTAATCGGGAGCCTGTACGTTCACATGCTACGTGAGTCTTGTTCCTCGCGTGTGTATTTAACGGCATGGGAAGAAAAAAATATTCAAGCAGAGATAACGAGATCAGAAACAGCTCACTTGTCTAGCGTTGGATATTAAATTAGCAGGAGACTCTGCGGCAGCTACCCAGTGCGCTAAACGAAATCGCATGTAGTTTAACCGGAAATTCTGATTAAAAATGCCGCGAGCAGTGCAGAAACTGAATCGCGTCGCATTTCCCTGGCTAGTCTGTCCACTGACATTTTTTCTGCAATATAGTTTTCTTTCTCTGGCTTGTTATATCCCCCGCAGATAATATTTTGCTTGCGATCTCGACGAACTCAACACAAAATAGATGGTATGTGGGCAGACTATTCCCGGGCTTTTCAAAAGCCCTTGCTTAACAAGAATAAATTGTCGTCCAGTAGACCTTTTCACGGTTTCTGACGCTTTGGTTTCTGGCTTTGTGGGGCAAACAGAGCAAAAATTACTGTAAATGTATGAGAAAAGTTAAAAGTTTGATGCCCAATAAGTTGACAATGATTGAATTTCTGGATATTTTATGTACAAGGAAAAAAATACCCAGCAGAAGGGTCTTTTGGTAAAATTTGAAGAACATAGATTTGCTGCGAGGCGAAGAATTGCACTTTTGATTTTTCATACAAATGCCTCTAAATTTTCCCGCGAATCGCGATTCGGAAGTTACAGACAAATGTGTAGAAAAATGAAAGCCTTAATTGTGGCTTTCTTAGCGAGGCTATTTCCCTTAAACGCGATCAGTAAATTCTATTACCCAGTGTCTTTAGTTTTTTAAAATTCATAAATACTTCAGAGCTCGAATTTTCCGTGGTTCACAATTTCCCCTTACATTTGCTGTAATTTTTGCGGTGTTTGTCCCCCAAGCAAGATGGCGTCAGAAACCGTGAAAAGGTCTATATTGCGTTGGGTTACCATTTATGAAATTTGCTTACTTAGCCGGGGAACACATTCAAGTAACACACAATCATCGATGGTAAACAGAAGCAAAGCTTGAAGCTTGAAATTCGAGGGTTGCCATTGAACAAAGTGTGAAAAATTAGAGATCAGAGATTAGAGATTAGAGAGAGATATCTTACAGGGTTAACTACAGTTTTACAGTGTAAGTAAGCGTATTTTACTCTGGCTTTTTGATTCAGTCAGTGTAAAACGCAAACTGGGTAAAATGCAGAAAAAATCCAGGCTGCAGACTAGGGTTACAATAGATTTAGATATCTGGATTTAAGCTTATACATGTACTCCATACTTACAAAAATAGACAAACGCCGTACTTCGCATGAGCTGAACCCAATTCAACCAATTAGGCTCGTGTGAAGTTCGGCGTTTGACCCAATAAAGTTAGACTAATTTTATTTGGAGAGGCTGAGGCGTTCTTCGCGCCTGTCCAGCCGTACATAACGCCTGAAGACCGACTTTGGGTCAAACGCCGATCTTCATTAGTCAAACCAAACGCATAATCAA